CAAGCTATAGCCCAAACAAATTTTAATTACCCTAAACAGTGGAGATTGGATGCCAAAGAGCTAGCTGCTGCAAAGACTCTTCGGGAGAAAGAGCGCATCCGTACGGCGAAACTATGGGAAGAGTCCCTTAAGGTTGCGGCATACATTGCCCTGGCTTTCAAAAATCTCCAACAACACTCTACTATATGGCTACCATACAACTTCGAGTAAGTTCAACTCTATACTTAAAGCTTTGTTCGATATATTTTATTCGATGCAAAAGAGTTTATCTAGTTCTATGATTAAATCCATACAGCAACCACTAGATTTGTATAGCCGTCGATGTCGGGAGGAGCATGGCATGGGTCTTTGATTCAATAGATAGGGACCCGGTGACATACAAAGACTTCATATCGATTCTCCAGACGTATACATATCGACAATCCTCATTAGCTTATAAGTTTGTATACGTACTTGTAACGTTCACTTTTGGATTCTAACAAGTTGTACTTGCTAAAATAATTCAAACAGGGCATTTAGGTTCTATGTCACTAATCATCACGGAAGGCATGATCCAGCAAGGAAGGAAAAGCTAGCTATAAAAACACTATGTGCGGTAAGTGTAACTTACTTCTTCAGTACTCCGTTACATGGCTGTCAAAAGCATTACTTAACATTTTCATATGCAAAACACACGGTGCCCCAAGCAGAAGCCTAGGAGTGTACATTGTGGATACTATGTATGTTCTATGATGGGTAACACCGGTGCCTACAGGAGACACCCCTTAAGGGTAAATTTGAACCTCTTCACCCGTAGTATAAAAACTTCATACATGGTATGAAATACTAAACCCAAACTTGTTCTCTTGTAGTGGAGAGAAGAGAAAGGAATGAAAAGAGACCCAAACAAGGATGACCAACACTTAGAGCTCGTCGGCGACCTTTGCAACTTCATATTGGACCAGATTGTACATGTCAAAGGCGCCTACCATGACCGAGAGTCTGACTTAGGTAGAAATCCTCAGTACCAACACCTTCGTGAGACTGAAAGGCTAGCTCTAGGACGTTGATAATAATGTGTATGGAATTTGTATATTTAATGATAGATTGTATATATTCTTGTGAATTAGACTTGTAATTGTAGTTTATATAATACTCTTGTGCTTGTAGTCTAAGGGGTTCGGAACGTTGGTCGCGGGGCGTTCGGCAACGTGAATGCGGTTCGGAACATTGGTCGCGGGGCGTTCGGCAACGCGAACGCTGGATGGAATACACGGAAACAAACAGTGTTCTGGTTGAATTTGAATTATAAATTTGAATTTTTTTATAGGAAAACATACTGTAGGGGCGGTTCTAGATTGAACCGCCCCTACAAACAGGTATTATAGCCGCCCCTATAAATCGATTTGTAGGGGCGGCTGATAATACGAGCCGCCCCTACAAATCGATTTGTAGGGGCGGCCTGAGAACCGCCCCTATAAATGCATGATTTGTAGAGACGGTTCGGTAGGGGCGGCTGGCCAAACCGCCCCTACAAAGGGTTACGAGCCGCCCCTAAAAATAGTTTCTGTAGTAGTGCGCTTCTTCGAAGGTGCAGTTAACGGCTAAAACTCCCCATGCTGCAGCGGGCTCCATACATGATAGGCACCGGCAGGATGTTTGAAGAGAAGGGTGAGGTTCTTGGCATGTTTTAAGAGAAGGGTGAGGTTCTTGTGTGGAAATGGCAATGCCACGGCACGGCCGGCCTGCGTGGCGTTTTATTTTTAAGCAGCAGCTAGGGTAGTGGATGTACGAGGAAAATCATGCATGATGTTCCTTCATTATCGTCATTCACGATAGCAAGTCAATTGACCATACTGGAAACTAGATTTTTCCTGTGTGCCCTATAATTTTTGTCGGTTACACAAAAACTCACAGGGAAAATATAATTTATCCTGTCAGTTCCACAAACCCACAGGAAAATACATATAACCCTATCGGTTAAGATGATACGCACAGGGAAATTAGCTCAGAGGATAATTACCTACAATTTCCTGTGAGATATGTAATTTTCCTGTCATATATATGCACACAGGGTAATTTAGGACCAAAAGCGCGCCAATTTTCCAACCTATTTCGCGCTTTCGCGGGCTTCTTCGCGCTTTTCGCGGGCATATGTTGGCGCCTATGCCAGGGTATGGGTTTTGATAAAAAAACTCGTCAAACCTTATCCTTATCCCCTACCCAACGCCCTCACGCACGGGTGCCCACCCCCACCAGACGCGTCGTCCGTCCACGTCCACCACCAAGCTCGGCCGGTGGCCCGCCCGCCTCTAGCCAAGAGCCGGCGGCTTGTCCACCCGGCTTGGCTGGCCGCCCGTTCGCCACAAACCAGGCGCCGGCATCCCAGCCGCCCATTTCCCTCCAGCCAGCCGCCGGCGCCCCGGCTGCTCGGCTGACTGCTCGTCCGCCTCTAGCGCCAGTCGGCGTTTGTCTCCACGCTGAAGGCCGCCGCCTGTCTGCCTCCAGCATTGCCTAGATCGATGCCCGTCCACCCCGAGCCAGCCGCCCACCTCCACGCAGCAAGTCGCCACCACGCCGACGCCCACATCAATGTTGCCACTTGCCTGATCCAAGCCTCCGTACAGGCGCATCTAAGGTTTGGCTCGGATCCACTGCACCACTTGCAATATCCTGCAGTCTTTCCTCCATCTAATGTCATGTGAATCTATAAGTAATTGCATGGCGTGAGCCCTTCCTTCAGCCCTTTCCATTTTTATGTGGAATGTGATGGATTGTGTGGTGGTCATCGTAGGTAGCATCTTCGATCACCGAATTCGTCACTTTCCACAAGAATCTGCTATGCCGCTGGCTTGATTGAAGAGGTCTGTTACCTTCAGTCACATTTTGCTGTGCCACACATCAGAAATTGAGAAGCACCACAGAGGTTCACTTGTAGACTTAAATTTACTGACGTTCCATTCATGATTGGTATTGCTAATTTTATTCATAAGCGATGTTTCTTTCACTGTTGTTTCTACAGCCAACAGCAGCAATAGAAGCACCCATAGTCATCTTCAGTTGCCCTTTTGCTTCAAGGTACAACTATTTCTTTTCGCTCTATTTAGTAATCTGCTCTCCAACTAATAGAGATGCATGGTTGTTATATTATGTTTGCCATTCTATTCTGTTTTGCTTTGCTGTTATGTGGTTGTATCGGTTTAGATTTGTTAACTTTGGTAGGCAAATGTCTTGGTTCTAGAATGATAGGATCTCTTTGAAGTCGTACAATGCAAGCTTCTTTTTTGTTTGAAACAATGTGACATAGCCAACATGCATGGTATGAATTAGTAATTATTATTTTCATATTTGAAAACACAGAGATAATTGAAATGCCATGCACATGGATGTATAGTGGTTGGCAGCGTGGGAAAGCTCCATCTAGTGAATGGACTGAACAAACTACTGAATTCCTGGATAATGCATTCTCTTTATTAGGTGTGGTTGAGAATGAGACCATTAAGTGTCATTGTGCCATGTGTCGAAACTATTTTAACCTGAAAAGGCATACTATTGAGCTCCACTTGTGTAAATATGGTTTTAAAGAAGGCTATGAAATTTGGACAGAGCATGGCGAGAGCCATGTTAGTATGATGATTATTGCCCAACAGATAATAATGAGGGTTTCAATGAAGTTCATAGCCCAGCCGCTAATAATGAGGGTGATGAGGCTCTGGATGGCATTGCACAACATGGAAGGTGAAGACATGGACGACGACATAATAGTGATGCAGCTCTAGATGGCATTGCCTGCACTGAGGACAGGGATGAGGACGAGGAAATGGATGATGATGATGACAATGCAAACGTCGGCAGCAACATTGGTGGCATGAATGATGGATCCAACAGCATGGTGAACATGGTAATATGAAGCATGGTTGGTGTTGGCACATACATCGATGGACTGCCCTTTTGTCTTTTGAACATCTAACTGTTAGCTGATTATGATTGGGTTAGGTGTTGAAATAGTATAGCTGATCATGAACAGCATCTTTTGGTAGCATGAAGAACTTGTTGACTTTGGTAGTAGAATGTTATAAAGACTTGTGATGTGAAGGCACACATATATAGCCTGGTGGATGTCCTGTGATGTTGGCTTTGGTGGAACCTTCATCTGCTAGTAATATGAATGTGATGTAGCCTATCTCATTTGAATGCTGGAATGTGGATATGAAATGCCTATTATTGCCTGGAATGAATGTATTATTTGAATCTGGAACCCATTTTCATTATTGGGCTTGTGATATTATTCTGTCGATCAAGCTCACAGGAAAATTATTAACTTGATGTATAGTTATTTTCCCTGTGCGCAGAGACACACAGGGAATCTATTTACCTTGTCGGTTGCAAAATATATCCTTGAGGGTGTGCGCCTACAGGAAAATTATTTAACCTGTCGGCTACCAAGGATTTTTCCAAGAGGATCGCGCACAGGAAAAAAAATCATTTTCTTGTCGGTCTACTATTTTTTCTGTGCGCGATAACCGACAATGATATTGATTACCCTGTCAGTTTTTGGCGCGCGAATAAACCTAAGCACAAAGATTTCCTTGCACAGGGAAATCCCGACAGGACAATTAATTTTGACGGCCAACCTACACGCAAATTTATTTTCCCTGTCATTTTAACCCTGACGGTATTGGCCTGTCGGGTTGCGACAGGATTAATTTTCCTGACGGTTTTTATTATATCCCTGTCGTGTTTCGGTACACAGGAAAATTAGTGTTTCCAGTAGTGATACTGTATCACCAAGGAACTCAACCGAAACAACAATAGGGGAACCATATACAGAACAGGCAAATAACCCGAATACATCAAGATGGAGGCTGAGGATCAGGTACTTTTCGTAATCTATTCTTTCAATGTTCGCGTCTAGTGGCTCAGCATAAATCCAGGGCTAACACGAGCTTTCAGCATTTGTGAGAAATCTTTCATCGTTCTGATTACAAACATGTAGGCAAAAGATAATGGTGGGCCAATATTTATCCATCGTATTCCTCATTGGCAAATTTGTCCTCCGCATAGCAAACCGCAACCACGGGGTTCCCACCGAATTTCCTTCCGTGCAATGCCGTCTTTGCTTTGGCAGCACCATCAACATCTGCATATTCCAGAAACACATGCAATGGCAAGCCCATGCATCAGAAACAATTCAATACAAATGTTACAGTACAGTTTAAACCTCAAATCATAGTAAGGCTCACCTTTCCAACTCCTGCAACTGGCTGTCCACTGGGGTCAGGACGTGGGATCACAACTTTCACCAAATTTCCTGAGGAAAAGATTTTTCTTTATGAGTACTAACTACTGTAACTGTACTGACTAATCAACATAACAATTGAATCTGAAACTATTGGAGTCAGAAATGGCATATTGAGAAAAGGAAAAGATGGAGAAGTGAACTCTAATTCTGCAGAGATCAACAGTAAGTATTTGCCTGCTTCTAGCCTCATGTCTTCCGTAATGTCCTCATACTCTTCATCATCTTTCAATTCATCTGCACTTACCACCTGGGTGAGACAAACAACCTTTGTAGGCAGTGCTCCAACTTGATACACAAGTTTCTGTTCACAAAAGCAACTCTCAGGAACAGAACCCAAGATCAACGGTAAACGTACAACCTGACTGACATAATAACAGAACAAAACATTGCCATGGATAGTAATTACATAGTTTGGTCTATACCTGTTGCTGTGCCTGTAATAGGATACTTTCCTGCTCTCCCTGGTTTGCTCGTTTGACAGTAAGGGTTTTGTCCCCCATCTTGATACCATTTAGAGCAGCGCAAGCAATGTCAGTGACATTGTGGTCCTCGTAAACACAGAATGCATAGCCCTTTGAGTTACCTGTTTCCCTATCCTTCACAAGATCGAATCCACATAGAGGACCGAATGATTCAAGAAACTCCCGAACTTGAGCTTCAGTGAAGTAATAGGGATGGCCACCCACAAAAATACGATCTGGACCTTCTAACCCTCCAGCAGATCCTGCTGTTAGGCCAACTGCAGAAAGATTCAGATTGGGGCTTGGCTGGCTTGTGCCCAGTGCAGCAGCCAGAGAAGGGTTATAGTCTGTTGGCCTTCTAACCTTCACTGGCGCCCCATCAAACAAAATGCCATCCAGGGCTATTGCATTGCTTGCTTCCTCGACAGATCTCATTTCCACAAAAGCAAATTTCTTATCATGGTTTATGTAGACATTAAGAACAGCATGGCCTGGACCAGCAGTGTTTCCTCCAATAGCAGCCATGACTTGATTAAAGTAAACTGCCACTATCTGCAAAAAAGAAAAACCAACTGAACCAACAGTTGCAAGTTATATGCACAAGTGATGTAAATTAACCCAACTTCTAGTATATGGACCTGTTCATTAGCAGATGGAGGAAGGCCACCAACATAAACACGCCGAGCATGACGAGTAGCCTGATAGACAAGGATGTTGGCACATTGTTTATTGAAACCTGCAGCAAATTATCACCTGTCCATACCTGTTGAGTCATTGCTTGTGGCTGGATGACAAGGGGATTGGACTGATTCAAGAAAACGAATATGGTTACAAAGCAACAAAACTCCATTTCAGAGATTAAAAAGGACTTCTAAATTCCTTCAAAGTTAAAGATACAAAGATACTAAATGAAGGAACAATCACCTGTCCACCAACACCAACACCAGAAGGAGGGAGCATGTTTGGAAACATGCCAGTAAAAGAAGAGCCTGTTATGCCTACAATGTTGCAATAAATTTCAAGTAGGAGGTGTAATTAATTAGCAACTAAGGTATTGCTCCTGAAAAACTGTATAGACCTAGAACCAGCTATGCAGCATTCAATGCCAAAGAATTAATAATATATATGTGCAAGGACAGATGTAATAATCATGAAGCGAGTGATTATAGTACTCCCTAGTTGAAAGATGAACAAGATGGATTTCAAACCGGAGCAATGATTCCACCTTGTACATTAAAGCTACATGTTGTAACACGGCCCTGGCGGGTGGCAAAGGCCTCCGACGGCGGAGTGTCGCCAAGGCGTCTTCGAGCGTCTTAGGGTGCAGATCTGGCCCTGACTAAAGGAACTTTCCTGGCTATGCTCGTAGGGCGCTGCACGAGGCTCAGCGAGCTTGTCACGGATTCCACCCGGGCCAGGCACAGACATCTCCGACCGCTCAGGCGGATGCCGCCCCGTTTCGGTTGACGGGCATCTCCGGCGATGAGGGCGGAGGCCGCCCTACCCCTGAACTAATTAAACAAACAGTCTTGCCTAAGTGTGTGTAGGTACCTAAGCGCAAGCGCCCGTGGTCCACACGAGCGCGCCAACATGGCCCCCGCGCGGCCGGGCTAAGACCTACGGATGATGTCTCCGACCGAACCGGCGGAGACCCACGAAGGCAACGGTGCGCCCCTGAAGACGGAGGCCAGCGTCGGGAACCCAGGCCTCTGGGCCGAAGACCGAGGCACGGCGGGCCAGTGTCTCCGACCTCCGGACCGGCGGAGACCCACGAAGGCAACGGCGCGCCCCTGAAGACAAAGGCCAGCGTCGGGAACCCAGGCCTCTAGGCCGAAGACCGAGGCACGGTGGGCCGGCCGCTTATCGAGGCCCGTTACTTGAAGACGGTGTGACAGGATTGCCCCGCAGACAAGAGACTAGTGGCAGAATATTCTAGGAATGTACTGTAGCAGTTGAGGGGCATTTCAATAAATTCTGTCAAGAGGTAGTTGAGCCCTATAAATATGGAACACTTGTAACCGTGCAAGGGGGATGGTGGATGAATTAATGAAACTCTAGCTTTCTGTGCCAGCGTCCTACACGCTCACCTGTTGTGCCTATCCCGGGTCTCCGCCCGAGGGCGACGCCTAGCGGGCGGAGGCCTCTGTCTCCCCCACGTTGTCTGAAACCACTAGTTTCAACATTGGCGCCCACCGTGGTTTGGCCAAGACAAACCAACGATGGCAGGGAAAAGAAAAACCACCACCAGAGCAGCAACGACCACGGGTCAGAGAGGAAGGCCTAGGCGCACCACTCGTAGCACCTACGCAACCTCGCCAGCAGAGGATGGCACCAGAGCGGATGCCCAGGGTCATCAACCGGAACCCCAACATCCAGAGATCCAAGATCCGGAGGCCCAACCAAACTCAGGTACAACACTCGAGCAAGAACTGCAACAGCTGCAAGAACAGTTGCAAAGAGCGCAACAAGAGAGGGACAGAATGGCAGCAGCATTCGCAGCTAATCAGCAAGCTACTCAAGCGTCAGCACAAGCAGCAGAAATAAGGCAGCAGTTGGCAGTCCTACATGCCGAGATGCTAAGTATGCAGCATGCAGTACCAGCGTCAACCTCCGCGATCCCAGCCTCCGCAGCAACACCAACCGCAAACATGCCTCCGCCAGTGATCAGCCCAACCATGATGCCATCTCAGGTGATGCGGAGGCCTATCGACCCCAAGTCCCCACTCTCTGAAGGCATACAACAATCGCCATGGCCAACGGCGTACAAGCCAATCACACTACCAAAGTTCAACGGAAAGACAGACCCCCATCAGTTCATTATGAGTTACGAGGCAGCAGTAGCCTCCACCGGTGGAGACGACGCCGTCCTAGCAAAGTCATTTGTTATTGCTGCCGAAGGTGACGCGTTGGCTTGGTATTCCATGCTCAAACCAAGCACAGTCTATTCTTGGGAAAATCTCTAGGACAAGATATTGGCAAACTTCAAGGGGCTAGCAGCATAGTCGCTGACATCCACAGATCTGTTCCAGTGCAAACAAATGCAGGGAGAGACACTACACGACTACTTTCGGAAATTCGTGCAACTAAAGGCGAAGGCACCAGACGTCCCAGAAGAGATCGCCATTGAAGCAGCGATCAAAGGGCTCCGAATCGGGCCGTTCGCAGCACACCTAGCAAGAAAGAAACCAACTTCCATACAGCAGTTGTATGACGAGTTCGAGAAGTACTGTAGATCAGACAATGACCTCCGGAAAAGGCTGGAGGAGTAGGGTCAAAACAGACAGCAAAACAACAGCAAAAACTCACAGGAGAGCTATGCGAACCAGAACGCATCAAATCAGAAACAAGGCCAGGGGCAGGTGCTCAGCATCGAGGGTCAACCTCACCCCGAACAAGGGCAACTGCCAGGGCCAGCAGGGCCGGAGACCCAGACCAGGAACCAAGGTAGGCAAGGTTACCAAGGCAAAAACTGGAACAAAAACCACAACCAGAAATAACGCAGGCCATATTGCGTTTTTTCACGGCGAAAGCGCAGGGCATAGCACCAAAGATTGTCCGGAGACAAAGGAGACATAGGAAAGAATGAAGAACAAGCAGACCGCCCAACCTCCAGCACAGCAGAACACAAGAGAGGTCAACACCACCTACACAACTGGCCACCAGCAGTACTGCCTGATGTACCCAGCGCTAAACGCAAACCAAATACATCCTTCCACACTGGTCTCCGCCTATTACCCAGAATTCCTACCAGCATGGCGGTCAGCGCCCTCGCAGCAGCCTCCGGTGGGCAACTATAGGTCGGAGGCAAGCCTGACCTACATAAACCCAAAAACTCCCCACATAACCTACCTCGAAACAAACCAACCGCCACAAAACCAAAGCAGGTTCGAGTATCCGCCGCAACAGCAGCAAATGCAACAACTGCCTCCGCCACCACCTCACAACCAACCCCCAACACCAAAAAATGAGCCAAACCCAGAAAACCAAATCAACCCTCATGGAGCACTGCCAACAATAGGCATGATACTGCCAATCGCCGGAGGATCATCAATGGAGTTTCAAACGAAAAAGCAGAAAAAGAATCACCTCCGCCTGGTAAACAATGTAGCAGTCCAGGGCCTAGCAAAATACACAGATTGGTCCAGAGTCCCAATCACCTTCACAGAAGAAGATCTCCAGCTAGAAAGCTACCCTCACACAAACATAGCAGCATGGGAGATAAGCAGAGTGTTGATTGACACTGGCAGCCCAGCAGACATCATCTTTGCAAATACCTTCGACCAAATGAAGCTCAACAGGAATCAACTACAGCCCTCCAAATCCCCTTTGATAGGATTCGGAGGCAAGCAGATACAAGCACTAGGAAAGATATCACTGCTAGTGTCGTTTGGAACCCAAGCAAATGCTAGAACCGAATACATAACCTTCGACGCCGTCGATCTGTATTACCCATACAATGCCATCTTGGGCAGAGGATTCACAACCAAATTCAACGCAGCCCTGCATATGGCTTACCTGTGCATGAAAATACCAGCACTCCATGGTATTATCACAGTCCGAGGCAGCCAGAAAGAAGCAAGAAACATAGAAAAAGCAATCTACAGAGCCCAAAGAAACATCAATGTAGTCGAGTCGGCAGATATGGTAGATCAAGAAGAAACAAAGCTGATCCCTCTAGAAAAGGATTTACCAGACAGAAAAGTAACAATCAGCTCAGAATTGAGCAAAGCAGAGGAGCAAGAGGTCATGGAAACTCTAGTAAAGAACAAAGACATCTTCGCCTGGTCAGCCTCCGACCTCCAGGGAGTCAGCAGGGACATCATACAGCACGAACTGGATATCAATGAAAACATGAGGCCAAAAAAGCAGAAGTAGAGAAAAATGTCAGAGGACAGAATCCTGGCAGCAAAGGCGGAGGTGCAAAGATTGCTAGATGCAAAAGTCATCAGGGAAGTCAAGTATTTAGAATGGCTCGCAAACGTAGTGCTGGTACCAAAGAAGAATGGCAAAATGAGAATGTGCATAGATTTCACAGATCTGAACAAAGCTTGTAAAAAAGACCCTTTCCCATTGCCAAGAATAGATGCCTCCGTCGACAAGGCAGCCAGATGCCAGAGGTTTTCTCTCCTCGACTGTTTCTCTAGGTATCACCAAATCTGGATGAAAAAAGAAGACGAAGACAAGACAAGTTTCATCACTCCATTCGGGACATACTGCTACACCAGAATGCCGGAGGGCCTCAAAAATGCCGGAGCAACCTTTGCCAGAATGACAAAGGAGGTTTTGGGCTCACAACTAGATAGAAACATCACAGCCTACGTCGATGACATAGTGGTCATGAGCAAGAACAAGGATGATCATGTCTCCGACTTACAGGAAACCTTCGCCAACCTAAGGGCAGCTGGCCTCCGCCTCAACCCAGAAAAATGTATATTTGGAGTTACAAAAGGGAAGATGCTCGGATACATCATAAGTAGCGAAGGCATCAAAGCAAACCCAGACAAAACCAGAGCAATAATGACAATGGCAGAACCCAAAAATAAGAAGAGAAGTGCAAAAGCTGATAGGAAGAATAGCAGCGCTCAACAAATTCATCTCAAAGGCAGCAGAACGCAGCCTACCCTTCTTCCAAGCCCTGAGGGGCGGAGACAACTTTGAGTGGGGGTCCAAGCAGTCGAAAACATTACAAAATATCAGTCCCAAACCAAAAAGTGGAGAGACTCCTAGGTGGTAAGGAAAGACAGAAAACACAGAGACCTCGTACTCAGAAGAAAACCCAACGCACAACTTGTCGGCAAGTTGCAACCGAAATGGGAAGGCCCATACACAGCAATGGCAGCAGGCCGACCTGGCTCCTTCCACTTGACCGACAGCGAAGGCGTCACGACAACCCACACCTGGAATATTGACAGCCTCCATAGATACTACATCTAGGCAATGTACCAAAGGGCAACCTCCGCAAAATATAAGCGGAGGCCCCTCCGTTTATTTACCTTTA